GAAGGAATCGCCACACACCCATATTTTCCAAATTCTACATCGGTTGTCTGTTCTCCAAGTTGTGGTCAAAACAGCTGGCCTCACCTATAACTCAATTTACCTGCAACGAAAATTCAATATTGATTTTTTTGTGGACTAGAATTTTTTCAGGAATTTTATTCTTGTGCATGACACTGTGTGGCAATCAACTGAATGTTATGATAAGCGAGGGCGTATATTTTCAAGATCCAGTAATCAGACCACAGATTTCTTCGTATGTTCGGGTGAGAACAAGTCTCATTTTACTCGGATGACTGTTGGGTTTTGCGATGTTCGTGCCCCATGCGTGTGACGCTTGCTATTGGTTGATTGCCGTCAATAACCAATCGCAAGCGCCTTCACACCTGCAGTAGCCACTTTGAAATTCCACAACCGCATTCAAGTCAAATGCACCCATTGTTCCTAGAAATTGAAAGACAATTCAGGTGATTTTATAGGTTGAGATGAGACGACGATGTGGAAATATAGTCGTAAGCGACATTATCGATGAGTAAAAATTTCAAATCGTAATAACAACTCGTACTTGCTGGCTACGAAATCGAATACCAGCATTCAATGAGAAGTTCACATTGTAAGATTTTTGAGGCGTTTCTGACAAAGGGGAGCCGTAGTGGTCCTTTGGATCTCTCTGGGGATACCGCTATGTGCTTTTGGATTTCGCCGTCTACCAGAAATAGCAATGGTTTGATTTGTTGACTGGGAAATTGGTGGTATCTTCCGTTACGGACCACATTGAAAACGGATAACTATTTATAAGATTGTAGCAGTAACATCGACTAATATATTAGTGGATTCACTGGCAGTACTTGTTGTGAACCCCTTTCGGCGTTTCAGTCGTCAGGTTCTTTCGCTAGCCCTTGTTGCGTATCATTAGAGCATTGGGTAAGACATTCAGGATTTTGTAGCTCCAAGGCTACGCAAAATTTACGCTAGAATACAGAATTTTATTATCTTTAGCTTACACGGGCCTGGATAGCAACTTGCTGCAAGGTGTATAGTAGGGTCACTTCTCGAAGTTGCGCACATATTGACATTCGGCGTCCACAGCAATCGATTTAGCGCTACCATTTCGCTCCCTCTCGCATTCATACACACCAAAGCTATCTTGCTCTTTCTACTGAACTGTGTTCCTACGTTTAGCTGGATCGATTGCCGCGGACGCTCAGAGTTGCGCGGCATCGCGCGGTGATCTTCATTATCTACGAGTCAGTTGCGAAGCAAAGAAGAAGTTGAAATTGTTCGAAGACTGATGAGACTGACTGACTGACAGACTGAGCAACAGCGGTTTCAGTAGCACTTTAGAAATTCTTCTGTTCTGTTTTTCAGGTTATATCGATGTAGAACAATTACTTCGTGATCTGCTTCGCGCCACCTCTCCCACCCCACACACCCCACTTAAGCGTCTACAAATTGAAAGCGGACAGTCATCAACAGTACGTTCATCAGTCCAGAATAAGTCTAGTCTATTTGGGTCCTCGTCACTACTGACAACAGCTCTGCTTATCAGGAGACAGTCCAAAAATACTAGACTTGAAAGGGTTCTGAGCAATTCGAACAGTCAATACTTCCCCATATGTGCACATTTTCAGGCGTATGCGAATGTTGGGATGTATGACATTCCCGGTGAAACGGCTGATGAAGAAGGCCAGAGAAGCGGTGAGTGACAGCCGATCAATTTTTGAATAGAAAAATTTCCGCGCGCATTCCGCACGTTCCATCGTCACGTGACTGCAAAGTGTGGTCTAGTTTGAGATGATAAAAGCGTAGACAGATAAAGGCAGCAGCTAACTGGGTGTGGAAGGGTGCAAAGGTACGGAAGGTGAACCCAGGGTGGACGTTTCAAGTGAATGGCTCAGGAGTGGGTGAAAACTCACCAGGGCGAAAAAGTGACATGTGGCGAGTTCACTGTAGGCTCTCATTGTGAGCAGCGGGAATGCAGATGAGTGAGATTGGTGCCCACTGCTATGCCGTAACCGCAGCGATGCTAAAGTCAGAAGGCAGTGGGTACAATTGCAAGGGTGTGGGCGGTTTCGCCAGCGTCACTGGTGGAAGGGCCGACTGAAGGTGTGGCCTGACCCCTCTCGTAACCCTTCCACCAACGACGCTGGCAACAACCGTCCACCTCCAGCACCCTTCCACCAATCGCTGGCAACAACCGTCCACCTCCAGCAACGTGCCGACTGCCTCTAAAGGATGGTTTTCAAGTAGTCTGTAGATTACGCATGACATAAAGCGAGTTCTTGAGCTGGTAGCCTAAGTCGATGAATTTTCAGAATGATGGTTATTATATTGACGAGAACATGACGATGGATGAAGTTGTAGTAAGTTTTATTCATTTCTCTTGTTAAAGACTGATTAGTCATAGTTTTTTTTTGCTTCCAGGTGAATGAAGGTGGATTTTTCCTGTTGAGCCCTAAGAGAGGTGAAAGGAAGAGTTTCCCCCAGAATAAAGTGGGTATTCCTGATTCGTTAGTTATTTCTATGTAAATTTTTGTCTACATGAACTTGTAATTTTGCAGATCAGCATCAAAACCTACTACAATGACAAGACGTTTAGTGGAGATGGCGCGTGCTGACGACGTCAAAGCTGCCTCGCTATCAGAAAATGTTGTAATTTTATAAATTCTGAGGAAGGAAGAGGGCGGCAGCCAAAGCGGGCACGGCCTAGGCGGAGCAATGTGTAAGAGAGTCAAAAATGTCGGAATTTTCTGAAAAAATTACAAAGTTCCGGAAAAGTGGCCGGAACTCACCCACTAGGAGCGGATTTTGCATGCGGCAATTAAGACTATATGTAGCGAGGTTACGTATATAAGAATATTTTTTCCAGTTATTTCAACATTTCAAACACCGAGATTCCGCAAAAAAAAAACATAACAAGGTCTAAAAAGAGACATACGCATAGGCACAACACGCATTCACATTTACTTGCAATTCAAGCTGTATGCATGGCGTATCCGAGGAGCCCACCACTTCCATCATAAACACATTCTTTTCCACAATTTTCGTGAGAATTTATGAATGAAGTATCAAAATCTCAACGTGAAGGATGACAACAGATGAAACGTAGCAAAATAATTATGGCGTCAGCGATTGAGCGAGCAATTAACTAATTTTTTACGTCCCAACCAAGTGTGAAGTTCAAACTATAACGTCTCGTAAACGTCATCACGGGGAGCATAAGTTGTGGGATGTCATATGATCCGTTTGTGTAATGCAGGAGATTTACGTTGCGGCGATGAGCAAAAACTAGTAGATCTTTAGTTAGTGGCCTATTGCAGCACGTCCATGTTGAATCCACATGGCACTACCAAAGCTGTGTCTCAACAACGTGAACCTACCACACTATAGCCTGGGATCATCTGACGAGACGGTGTAAGAAAGGCTCGCTTTTTTGCCTAGAAAGTAAGGAAAGGCAAGCCTCAAGGCGGACCCTCTTCTGACGATCGCTCAAGTCGTGCGGTACCCAACGGTCCAGCTTCCTACTCTTGCCAATTTGCTTCAAATGAGACGAGATCGTCACCTTACATACTCCAAACTTTGCCGCTAATTCTCGAGTACTTTGAGTGGGATCAGCTTCCACTACGGCTTTAAGCTCATCGTTGTTCAGCTTGCACTCGGGCCGTCCTCTCGACTCATTTTGAAGATCGAAGTCGCCGGATTCAAACTTTGCAAACCATCGACGTACTGTTCGTTCGTTAGGGGCATCCTCTCCAAAGACGACGGTGATATTCCGAACTGCCTGTGCTGCGGTGCTTCCACGGCGGAACTCGTACTCCAAGACAACACGCAATTTGGACTTGTCCATGTCGTTACAAAAACCTTTCTAAAAAAGTCAGATTCCACGGCAGCCGGAGGTCCACCGAAGGTAAGAAAGAGGGAGGCTGCACCTTTACCAAAACTCAGTACCAAGGACTGCCGGAGCGTTTTGCCTTAGATACGGACTCTCGAACTATGCACTTCTGAAAAACGGACATTTCATACTGAACGACCTGATATTATCGGAATCGTCTTCGTCCAGTACTAGAGAGAATGACAATGTCTTGAATAGGAATGTCTAAAGAAGATCGGAATATAACGGAATATCATTAAAAAAAACGTCTCTAAGCCCTTCCCTTTCTCGGGACACAGGGTGTATTTGAGTGCTACATGGCTTGAATGAGGCCTTGTGTACGTTAGTCGGTGTACAAAGTGGTGTTTTTATCCCGTCTAGTAAGAATGGTACCAAATGACTGATTCAGCCAGTACGGAAGACGTGCTGCGTAGGATTTGTTTGAAGTTCTCTTTCTTCGATCATGTAATGTGCCGCCACAGATTAATGTGGTAGGTTCACGTTGTTAAGACACAGCTTTGGTA